TGTCTGACGCGTCTGCCTCCGCGACCCGAAAGGAGAAGCGGCGATGGAAGATGAAGATGAAGAAGATGGTGATCGAACCAGCGATGACAATGATTTTAAGTGTGATGATAACGATACTGTGATAATTAGTATCGTTGTAATAGTGATGATTTTGCCTGTGGGGAATGAAACTGGGTTGCGAATTTGATGCAACGGCTGCTGTACGGCAAACTCATTATTTCAGTAGTGTGATGATCTTCATTGGGTGCAAAGAAATAACAAGTCGCGGTGGTTACCGTAAAGGTTCTTATCATTCATCAATTGTTTTCACTATCACCGTAAACATGGTCATTAGCATAGGACTAGTGATGATCTGATTGTGTTCATAGTAATGATGGTGAGAACATTGTAGGTGATGTACATTATGATCTCGTCATGTCGATCTTGTTTTCTCGATACTATCATAATCATGATGGTGAATATTATTACGAACATGTTGATAATGATTACGGTGAAGATACTGACCAAAATGATCACAAATCTGTTGAACTATATGTACTTGGTTCACTATAATTATCGTTATTGCGGTATTTACCGTCATGGTGATTGTGATGACCATGTCGATATGTCGCTGTCTATACAAACATAGTTATCATTATTATCCTCATAATCACCGATATGATCGTAGTTGCGATAGTGAATATGAAGATTATGATTACGGTGATAAAGAATTACGTGCAGATCAGCATATTTATGCTGATTATGGTCGGTGCCTTCACCGAAATCATTCTATGTGACAAGCTGAGTGGTGCTGATTTGTCATTCTCGAAGGAAAAAAGCCAGTAACCTGAGCAAGGCGCAAATCACTTAACGTTTTGGCTTTGAGTCTGACACTACTGACTGAACATCCTCGATTAAATGGGTAATATCATAATAATGATGACTGTGCGGTGGAGATACCAGTCATAATGGTCAGAATAATGGTGATTTATATGCACTTCATTCTCAGTGTAATTATAATCATCCTTGTCATTGTAATATTTACCATCGCGTTTGCCCATCTTTATGATCATATTGATGAGAGTCGTTGCGTATATACAAAAATACATTTTTAGCTGTCATCGTTTCAGGCTTTGCGTTTCGAGACATTCGATAACTCAGACCTGCTGAAGTATCTGATGCAGTATTCGAT